CAGAGCCCGGCGCGTCAATGGATTCGGCCGCCCCGGGGCTCCACGCTGTCGCCTTCACATGTTTCGGCTCATGGGGAGCGCGGGGACGCGGCTTTTTGGGCTGAAATGTGCCCATGCCAGAGGATTTCATCCCCTCTGTCGCGGCTGAACTTTCCCCGCTGAATTCAGCCGGTCCGTGGATGCGGATGGAGGGGGATGCTGTTACATAGCGAAAAATATTCGGCTTCCACCCTCCACGTCGTGTAAGGCAGAGGATGTGGCTCAGGATGGTGTAAACCAGCTCTGCTTCGGCAGCACCCCCTGAATTGTGGCAGCCAGACACCCCCTCCCCTCCTAATGATCCTAATTAACACTGGTTTTACTGGGAGCTGTTCTGATGGGGGGAACTCGGGCGGGAGGGGAGCCTTGCGGACCCCCCGCCGCTCCCGAAGTGCCATGTTTCATTTGAATCCCAAAGAAACTCCCTTGATCTCGCCTTGGGGGAGGATCTTTGGAGTCAGAGCCCCTCTTCCTCCTCCTCCTCCTCCCGTGCTGCAGGACCACGGGGATAATTCGGGTGGGAAGGGACGTGGCCGTGTCCCCTCGCCGTGGGGCACAGCGGGGACCACCCGATGCCCGTGGCCGCCTCTCCCCTCCCCGACAGGCGCGGATGAAGCTTTGCAAGCCACATTTCCGCGTGAGACCCCGTTCGCTTCAGAGCTTCCCCAGCCGCAAACAAGGCTATTCCCACTCCCTCCCCGCTCCCGAGGTACATTTCAGGCTATAAACAGCCAATTAAGCTAATTAAACAAGCACCACCATCGCCTCATGCAGTTCGGCTTATATTCGCACCTAAAAATAAATTCCCGAGGTGTAGAGAACCTGTCAAGACCTAAAAAACCCACAAAATCCCACGCTGGCACTACGCACGCATCCTCTCCCCGCCTGTCCACGTTTGCATCCATCTCCACCGAAGACAGATTTTCCATTGCAGAGTCTTTCCTCCTTCTGAAGCACAACCGGGGTTCGCATCCTTGCCAAAACCCCCCATATCTGACCATTTCCACCCCAAGCAAGACCCCTGCTTTGCTGGGTGGGGTCCCAGTGGGTGCTGGAGGGCTCTGGGTGCTCTGGGAGAAGCCCATTGGGAAGGGAAGGTCTTGCCGAGGGTCTATGAGAAGTGGTGGCCGGCAAGAGGTTGGGTTGAGGTCTGCGACGGGGGACAGGAGAGTGGAAACGCCCCCGTAGTCTGCAAGGAAATGGGTGAGGTTTAGCAAACGGTGTCCCCAAAACGCCGGTGGAATTTGGAGATGCCCAGGGGTCACCTCCCCACCGCGCCGTTACCTCTGCATAGGCAGTGGACATCAACGCTGGGTCCAGCCTCTTCCTCCTGAGCGAGGGAGACTGCGAGGCAGAGCAGGATGACCCCGTCAGGGTGGGATGTGGAGCCCAAAACCCACTTGGGAAACCCAGGGGACCCCGGCTTCTGTAGGAGACCAAGGTCCTGGCAGGGCAACCTCACCTTCCTGGGCTGGATCACGGAGTAGATGGTGCAGCTTTCAGGCTCCTTTGGGTGTCTGGGTTCCTACCAAGGGAAAAGAGTCAAAATGCAGAAACTAAAGCAAATTTTGAGGCTAAAGAGGCGGACTTGGTGTCTTCCACCAACGCATCCAGCTTGGAGGGCTTCAGGACAGGCACAGGATTGGCCTTACCTGCTCTGTGGCGCAGACGACAGCGTAAATGGTGTTTCCTTCCACGGCGGACTTGCCACTCCTGTTCTGGGGAAGGAAACCCTATAATGGTCAGAGGATGCAATGTGGGGTGAGGGGACACCCAGGGACAACCCCCCACACTCACGGGGTTTCGGATGGTTGGGGCTTTGCCCACCTCCTCGTAGATGGTCAGAGCCTCCTCGATGGGTCCTGGGGAGGTTTGTGGGGTCAGAGCCCCCAGAATGGGGGGGTTCAGCCCTTGAGCTAAGCAAGTCAGAGGGAGAAAGAGGTCCTTTGGCCATGGGGTGGTTTCACTTCATTGGCCCCTGTCTCCAGCTCAGAATAAAATGAACGTCCAGACCCAAATTGTCCTCTAGACCCCATGGGATGAGGCCACCAGGTTTGGGCAGCGATGCTCAGGCTGCTTCGTCAACCCAGACCACTCTGCACCAACAAGGGTGGGCAAAGGCTCCGTGCCCCCTGCAGCGCCTGGCAGGGGGTGATGGTGGCCAGTGGCTCGTCCCACATTAACACCAGGAAGGGGGAGAAGCCCAGGGCCAGCATGGGGAGGGTTAGGGGCCACCAATCCCAGCAACGACCGAGTCAACCCTGGGGACAAACCTGCTGGGGGGTCCTTTCCTCGCTTCCTCCGCCAGCAGCAAATGACAACGAGGGCTATGGAGACGGTCAGTGCCAGCCCCAGTGACACGGCCACTGCCCACCAGAGGAACCCTGGAGAGGAAGGAGAGGAGAAGGGGAGACCTTTGACGATGGGCAGAACCTTGAGCTGTTTCCAAACCCCATCTCCATCCCAGTCTGCACAGGGGAAGAGCCCTGGATGGGAAAGCTCAGCCCCGGCTCCATCACCCGCGCTTGCCCATCGTGTTTTGAAGCTGGGCACTTTTTGCCATCTGGGTGATGTCCTCCATGGTTTCCCCAGCTCAGGTAGGGAGACAAAGTGTTCCCAAATCCTGCTTTTATGAAGCCAAGGGCAAATTACCTGCATCAGTCACGTTGCAGGCCCCGCTGGTGTCGGCGCTGGCCGTGCTCCAGCTCACAGGGTTGCTGGCGTTGCAGGAGCAGACGATGGGGTCGGCGTCCCCAGGGACCTGCAGGTACAGCACCCCA